CTAAGCCCTAAGCCCTAATCCCCCCCCCCCCCCCTCAACAAAAAAAAAAGGGGAAAGACACAGTTTAGGTTTAGGGTTTAGGGTAAGCCCCCCCCCCCCCCCTCCCCGTGCCCCCAAAGCCTACATTCTCCCTAGTCAACACCGATTCGATGAAGCAATTGATGGGCTAGGGTTCCATAAGGCTTAGGGTTTAGGGTTTAGGGTGTAGGTTTTAGGGATTAGGGGGTTTAGGGTTTAGTGTTTAGGGTTTAGTGTTCAGGGTGTAGGGTGTAGGGTGTAGGGGCTTGCAAAAGGCTTGAGGGTTGAGGGGTTTCTAGGCTTGCCAGGCTTTTGAGTCTTCAGGGCTCGGACTTGGGGGTCAAAGACTTCTTGTGCGATGGTGTACGTCTTGTTGACTTCCAGAAAAGTATTGTTGACTAAAGGTTTTTTGCAGTGTAGAGTGCGCGTGTGCAACCGAGACGAACCAACCCTCAACACAAAACCCTAAACCTAACCCCCGAAGCTAAACTTAAAGCCCTGAAACCATCCCTAAACCGTAAGCCCGAAACCCGAAACCCCAAACCCTAAACCTTAAACCCTAAACCCTACACCCTAAACGCATCATGCAGCCTGTAAGGGTTCTGGTGCCCCACCTGCCCTTCATCATCACCGCCCCGCACGATCCGGAGTTCACGGCGTCTCGGATTTCCCTTTCAAGCCAGCAGTCCCGGGACCCACTTGCTACCCCCCACAAGAAGGGTTTAGGGTTTAGGGTTTCTAGGGTTTCTAGGGTTTCTGGGGTTTCTAGGGTTTAGGGTTTAGGGTTACCCCGGACCCAACAGGCGCCCCACAAAAGGGTCTAGGACCCGGAGTAGGCCCTTCTTCCCTTTCTTTAGGCTTTCGGTTCCTTTAGAAGCCACTTTCAACCAACAAGGGCACCCTGTTCCTTCCCAGGTGACTCTTGGGTCTAGGTTTAGGGTTGAGGGTTTATGGGTCTAGAAACCCTAAACCCTAAACCCTGAACCCTAAACCCTAAACCCTAAACCCTAAAACCTAAACCCTAAACCCTAAACCCTAAACCCTAAACCCTAGCCCTAAACCCTGATTTGGCTCGTCACGAAAGGCTTGGGACTTAATGCTTGAGGGCTTTAGGGTGTAGGGTTTTGACCAGCGACATACACACCGGAAACCCTAAGGCTACACCCCAAACTGCCAATCCCTTACACACCCAACCCACTTATCCCGACCCCAAACCACTACTCCCTTCACCAGATTGAATGAACATGTAACTCAAACCCTAAACCCGAAACCCTAAACCCTAAACCCTAAACCCGAACAAAGGGCCAACCTAAGGGACCCTGAACATACCCTGAGACCCCAATCGCTTACACCCCAGGCAAACCCAGCCCCGAAAGAAAACCCAACAGCCTAAACCCAAACTTCCGCAACCGAAGCTTGGGTTTAGGGTTTAGGGTTTAGGGTTTAGTGTTTAGGGTTTAGGGTTTAGGGTTTAGGGTTTAGCGTTTAGCGTTTAGGGTTTAGGGTTTCTAGTTTCTAGGGTTTAGGGTTTAGGGTTAGGGGTTATGTTTCGGGCTGAGAAATTTTCGGGGTTTAGGGCGGGCTGAGGGTTTCTGGGGGCTTAGGCGTAAAGCCACCCTCAGCTGAGGCAGCGCTCATTGCTTCCTGGCTGGAACGGCGGAGTTTGTGTTTCTGTTGATCCCTAAACCCTAAACCCTACACCATGAGGGTTTCCAAAAAAAACGGGAGACCTTCCCAGACCCCTGGGAAGATCCAAAAAGTAGATCCCCTTAAGGGTTGCGAAGATGAACCCAATAGTAGTATAGGTTTCGATTTGGGAGTTGTACTTTTTGGATCCTCCCAGGGGTCTGGGTAGAAATTTCCGTTTCGGTGATGAGGAGTTGTGTAAGGATTGGGTTGGGAGGTAACGGGCCCAATGTGGGATTAGGGTTTAGGGTTTAGGGTTTAGGGTTTAGGGTTTAGGGTTTAGGGTTTAGGGTTTAGGGTTTAGGGTTTAGGGTAACAGTTAGAGGTTACGCATGTCATGGCTAGGGTCTTTTGAGTTTTCGGATTTACGGTTCAGTCTAATCCCTTTACGTGGGATGTTCCCCCTTATACTAACAGTCCTGAATAGGGATTCTAGTACCCCCCCCCCCCCCCTATTGTAATCCCTACTAAGGATCTGTTAGTATAAGGAACCCTAAACCCTAAACCCTAAACGGCTAACCCCTAAACCCTAAACCCTAGACCCTAAACCCAAAGGGGGAGTTCTAGCGCCGACCCAGCCCTTCGACCCAAAAAAACCTTAGATACCTGGTGCCAGCCAAGATCATGCAATCAGAGTTCGATCGCGGCGTGCACTCCATCGTGACTTCCGACGCCTACAGGACTGAGGGCTTAGGGGTTTAGGGTTTAGGGGTTTAGGGTTTAGGGGTTAGGGGTTAGGTGTTGGGGTTAGTGTTGCGTAGGCGCTCAGGGTTATGGCGTAGCCTCCCGGGGCGTGGCGGAGCCTCAAACGTCACCAAATCGTTGAAAAAGTTCAAGCTGTATGGGCTTACCTTACGAACCGAAACCCTGCTACCTTTTTTTTTCATGCCTTCGGGTTCAGGATTCTGGGGTGTCCTAAACCCAAGAGCTTCGAGTACCACCCACCAAGTAAGTGCCTTCCTTTTTAAAGTCACAGCAGAGATCCGGTCGTAATGAAAACATCATCGTTGCGGAGAGTGTGGCGCGCAAAAGAAAGCGCCAGCAATAGCCATAGCAAGAAAGAATCACACCCTACATAATCTCTATAGCTGTAGTACATAAGGCTCAAGGGCAGCATTGGTAGTAACAAGAAATCCCTGAAGGTGCGCGACATGAGCATGCTAGATAGAGCTAACTCTAGCTCTCGCTCTCTCCCTCTCTCTGTCTCTCTCTCCCTCTCTCTCTATCTCTCTCCCTCCCTCTCCCCTCTCCCTCCCTCTCCCTCTCCCCCTCCCTCTCCCTCTCCCTCTCCCCCTCCCCCTCTCCCTCTCCCCCTCTCCCTCCTCTCCCTCCCTCTCCCTCTCCCTCTCCCTCTCTCTCTCTCTCTCTCTCTCTCTCTCTCTCTCTTTGTCTCTGGTGTATTCCATAATCAAGGTATATTGGAGCCTTCTTGGGTAAGTTACAAACTCCGAACGCCAAGCTAAACCCTAAGCCCTGCAGAAACCGCAACCTTGTGCTCATCTCCGGCTTAAATGTGGACATCGCGCCCCCTGCCGACGATATGGAGGCCGTGGTTACTGGGGTCTTGTGAAGGCGGGTTTAGGGTTTAGGGTTTAGGGATGTTTAGGGTTTAGGGTTTAGGGTTTGGGGTTTAGGGTTTAGGGTTTAGGGTTTAGGGCTGGGCACAGAGGAACCTTGATACGTGAAGTTTTCCTTCATCGGATCCAAAAAACACCAGCCTCGTAGTCTAGAACTCCAAAGCCCAAAACGTAATTCCTAAACCCCAAACCCTCAACCCGAACCTTCAAACCCCACAAACCTAGACCCAAACCCTAAACCCTAAACCCTAACCCTAAACCCCTAAACCCTGAACCTAAACCCTAAACCCTAAACCCTACACCCTAAACCCTAAACCCCAAACCCTGAACCCCAAACCCTAAACCCTAAACCTAGACCCGAAATCCTAAACCCCAAGCCTTTGTTGCCACAGGCGTTCCCTCAGACGATGTTCCTTCCCTGGGCGGCGGCTCGACACAAACCTTGGGGACCAAATGTACCCAACGATGGGGTTTAGGGTTTTAGGGTTCAGGGTTCAGGGTATTTAGGGTAAACCCCGTACTACTATGGTTCCTTAATTCTAAAGGGAATAGACATGAGGGGCTTCATCTTTGTCGCCCAGGAAATTCCAGGATTCGGTGTAATCCTAAGGTTTTTAGGGTGCTTAGGCCGAGAGTTTCCCTAATCCTTCAACCCTAAACCCTAAACAGGGCTCCGTTAAAACGGGAGGTATCCGGTTCCTCCCTACACCCGAAACCCTCAACTCTCAAACCCAACCCCTAAACCCTAGACCCCCAAACCCTAAACCCTAAACCCTAAGCCCTAAACCCTAAACCCTAAACCCTAAACCCTAAACCCGACTTCCTTGGGCTGTTGGGCTCTTTTTACTTACCCTGGCCTTCCGAGCGCCCGAAGTGTCAATGCTGGGCCCAGAATTTTCAGGCTATCAGCCTAAAGCCTAAACCCTAAACCCGGAGCCCTAAACCCTAAACCCTAAACCCCAAACCCTAAACCCTAAACCCTAAACCCTAAACGAAGCCTGCAGACTCCGAGCCCTGAACTCAGATTCCTCCCTTGTCAAAAACAAGGCGTTCGTCCAGCTGGCGGATGGTTCGCAGCGAGTTATCGAGCAAGAACCTGGGCGGGGTTTTGGGGCTTCAGGGTTTGGGGCTTAGGGTTTAGGGTTTAGGGTTTAGGGTTTAGGGCTTAGGCTTTAGGGTCACAGGGCTTCAGATGTCAAGGTTTAGGGTTTAGGCTCTTTCAGGTTTTGGCTTTGGACTGCAGGGTTCAGGGTGTTTGTTTGTGTACAACATCGTGGTTCCGGTTTTCTTGCGACGGACGCCATGTTGTCGTTCATCGATATGATGGTGGTGCTGTCCTGCAACATCCCGCTGATACTTGGAGCTTCATGGGTACTTATAGGTAGGGTGACAAGTAGGAACTATGGTTACAACCTTGCTTGAGGTACTTCTCACCCTACTTATGAGTGCCCGCGAACCTTCAGGTACTGCGAATAGTGAAACATGTGGCTGGTGGCGAGGTTCTTCACGATGTTTGGTGACCCTAGGCACTAAACTCTCAACCCTAAACCCTAAACCCTAAACCCCAAGGCCCTAAACCCTAAACCGTAAACCCCAAGGCCCTAAACCCTAAACCTTCTGCTTCCCATGCTGGAAATGCCCCTAGCAGACATTCTTGAAAAGACCCCGAAGCCCCCCCCCCCCCCCCCCCCCCCCCCAAAAAAAAAAACAACCTGAAACTGATGACCGCAAGAGCCTACAGTCTTCAGGCCTTGTAAAGACCCCGAAGAACCCCAAAAAATCCTGAAGCAGAGCGCCGTAAGAGCCTACAGCTTCAGAATTTTTGGGGGGTTTAGGGTTTAGGGTTTAGGGTTTAGGGTTTAGGGTTTAGGGTTTAGGGTTTAGGGCTTAGGGTTTAGGGTTTAGGGTTTAGGGTTTAGGGGTTTAGGGGCAAGGAGTCGGGTTTCAATGTTTAGGGGTTGGGGTTTACAAGGCTGGGTTTCGGGCGCCAACAGGGTCTGAGGTTCAGGTGTAGGGGGTTAGGGGTTCAGGCTTTATAAGGCTAGGGTTTGGGCGATGGGTTCTACCTCGCTACCTTGAAAGCTACTCAACCTCAATCTCTAAACCCCCAAGAATGTAGCCGTGTTAACTGGGTCACATGGGGTTTACCCAAATAGGGGTACCCTTTTGAGGGCCTTGTTTTATCAGGGAATCCTACGATTTAGGGGGCAAATCCCCCACATGTCAACTCTGAGGCTATAAGACATAAGCCGCTGACTGGGCATTGTTAGGCACTTAGACTACGCACCCGATGAGGGTTGAAGGTTTAGGGTTTATAGGCACTAACAACACCACAGAGAAATGGCTACAGTACCCTAGACCCTGAACCTGAACCCCAAACCCTAAACCTTAAACCACCTTAGTTCCAGTTCCTTTAGGCCCAACTGAACCTCACACCCCCCCTGACTTCACTGACGGGAGGACGCCTTGGTGACGATGTTGCACAAGCAGTCCACGGACAACCAGGACTTCAGGGTCTAGGGTTTGGCATCGGTAAATTGGGGGGGGGGGGGGGGGGGGGAGATGAGGGGGGTGAGGGTGGTGCCTCAGCAAGACACCCCTCGACCCAAAATGTTGGCCTTAAACTCTAGCAGCTAGGACCCTTGTAAAATCGAAAACGGTACACTTTTTCATTCCTAGGTTACTTTTGGTCAGTTGGCTGAAGGCTTACCCTAAACCCTAAACCCCAAACCCCAAACCCTTACGGATAAATTCATGGGATCCAGGTAGTCGTTGAACTAGGGTTCAGGGTTTGGGGTTTGGGGTTTAGGGTTTAGGGTTTAGGTTTTAGGGCTACAAGTAGTTTACCACACAGTCCCTTCGAGGTCTTTAGGTAGCTGCTGAAACTAGGTATGCATGAGGATTGCGCGAGACAGCCAGTCGCACGCTGAGAGTTTAGAAGATCTGTGGTAGTCTTGAAATTTGGGGTAGCTTCGGGGGCTGCAGAGTTTAGGAAACTTGGGGCTTAGTCGTGTCACCCAACCAGATAGGTGGCAATTTTGCGAGCAAGAAAGACCTAGACGTAAACCTGAGCACAAGAGCCCGACGCCCTTGCAACCCATTCGGACAATGAACCCTAAAGGATTTATGGTTCATACATCTTAATAGGACTTAGAGCAGTAGGAGGTATCTGACCCCAATTTTAGGGTTCGTTTTTGTCCCTCTTACCAGGATGCCGTGAATCTCGAACGTGGCTTCGAGGCGCTCTTCGGCCAGTTCGAGAAGAGGAGCTACAGCAAGGGCTAGGGCCTTGTAGTTGTAGCAACTACTCTTAAGAAATCCCTAAACCCTAAACCCTAAATCCTAAACCCCAGGGCTTTAGGGTCCGGATTGGAGGTTAGAGGTTAGGGTTTAGAATTTAGGGTGTGGAGTTTAGGGTTTAGGTATTCGAGCTGGTTGAAGGTTTGGGGGAGAGCACCCTTCGACTGAAAGACCAGGGCGGATGGGGAATTAGGGTTTAGGGTTTAGGGTTTAGGGTTTAGGGTTCTGGGGGAGCGGAGGGGGGGGATAGCAAAAGAAGAATTCCAACTCTCTATATGGGGACTTGCATGGTCCCTTAATGTGGTGCCTTACCTTCTTTACAGGTTTCTGAAGTATGAGCCCTTGGGTTTATGGGGACATAAGGGGCTCATATTACGGGACCATGAAAATGCCCTTAGAACCTCCGTGTTCAGAGCGTCTCAGGAACCCGAGCGCGGGGTTGAGGTTTAGGGTTTAGGGTTTAGGGTTTAGGGTTTAGGGTTTAGGGTTTAGGGTTTAGGGTTTAGGGTCTAGGGTTTAGGGTTTAGGGTTTAGGGTTTAGGGTTTAGGGTTTAGGGTTTAGGGTTTAGGGTTTAGGGTTTAGGGTTTAGGGTTTAGGGTTTAGGGTTTGGGGAATCAAGGTAAGGTCCCGGGGCCTCTGAGTCATCCCAACCCCTGACCTGGCGCCAGGATCCTTTTCCACAACACACGCGACAACAAGCTCGCTGAAGTGCGCACCGTGTAGATTACTGTTGGTTAGTACGGAATGAGGGAATGAGGTACCCTATATAATCTCTTAAAGGGTACATATAATACAGACATAAGTTTCCAAAAAAAAATATATATATATATGTATGTATATATATATATATATTCCACTAACCAACAGTAAGGTAGAGCCTCTTTCGTTTCAAGGCGTTGACCCTTGCAGCCTTGCCTCAACTATTCGCCGATTCCTTTCGAAGCGAAGGCGGTGTGGTCCCAAGATCCAGGACCCAAAGTAAGCCCTTATGTCCTAAACCCTAAACCCTAAACCCTAAACCCTAAACCCTAAACCCTAAACCCTAAACCCTAGAAGCCCCTTTGCCCCTTTAAACCAAAAAGGGCACTGCTCTTGGAGTGCTCTGAAGTAGGCGCCCTTCTGGGGCTCCATTCTCGTAGCATCCTGCATCTGCGCTAGAAGAGCCCATACTTTCAAGGTCAACCCGCAGGCCTTTGCGTTTAGGGTTTAGGCTTTAGGCTTTAGGCTCTAGGCTTTAGGCTTTAGGCTTTAGGGTTTAGGGTTTAGGGTTTCGGGTTTAGGGTTTAGGGGTACAGACCCCAACTCCTTGCCCGGCTATGACTTTCACTCACTGAAAGCGCAGACCCCGTAAACCCCCCCACCCCCAAAAACCCCTACAAAAAGCCGAAGAATCTGGGCACCTGCCCGAGGAAGGAATCTGCAGTTGTGGGAACCTTAGGCTGGGACTCCGGTTGGCGCAACGTTTCGGACAGCAAAAAGTGGCGTCAGCTCGTCCGGGTCAGGTTTCCGGGGTCTTCTTAGGGTTTAGGGAGTAGGGTTTTGGGGCCTGTACAGGGTTTAGGGTCTACATTGGATTTCGGGTCATCGTTTAGGGAGTATATAGGGTTTGGGGTCGATGCAGGGTTTAGGGTCTACAGTGGATTTGGGGTCATCGTGTTGCAGGCTTTTGCAAGTTGCCAAGTGCTTCTGGTACTGCATATATGTGTATATGTATATAGTATATATATATATACATATATTTATAATACACATACATCATACACATATGTGAGAGACTTCGAGCAGAGCACCACGACACGCGAGCCGAGTTGGGCGTTGTCGACGATGCATTCGCACGCAAGTCCGCTGATCGCCTGACTGATGTCAGACCCTTACTTGGAGGTGAAAAGTACCTATACTTGGGGTTTAGGGTTTAGGGCCTTTAGGGTTTAGGGTTCATGGGTACTTATAACCCCGTCTAGCTATAACCTACTTAGAGGACTCGGGGGGGGGGGTTGAAAAGTACCTTGAACCTCCAAGTATGAGGGTCCACGTACCTACATCGTGTCCATGCCGGCCCCCTCTGAGGCCCGAGTATATGCGCTGCTCGTAAACTGCCGATTGAGGCGTCGGAGAGAGTCGGACCTGAAGGACTGAATTGAAGCGAGCCCGATCGAAGAAGTGGGCAACGGATCTTTGAAGCAGCACAGGGTTTGCCGCCACGACTCGTTTGCCAATGAGGGGCGAGCCGCCCATACGCGAGACACACAGGAAACAAATGCGTGACGCGCGCGAGACGCACGCAAGGCGCCACAAAAGACGACGTCTTTGAGACCTGCCGCGAGACATGAAGGGCAGAGCGGCACAACGCACGTTTCCGGAAAGTGCGTTCTACGATGCCAGCGCCTGAACAGTCAACAGGAATCCGCGGCGGTGGGGTTGCGGTTTGTGCAGCTTGTGGTCGACGGCTGCAGAGGCAGCTGCATGGCACCGACCGCAGTCAAGATATGGAGAACACTGGGGCAAACGTTGGCCGCTTGCTCTGCGGAAGGTCGCTGTTGATACCAACAAGCGGTACACGTCCTTTGTGGTGACCCGTCGTGCACCGACAGGGGCACAGCCTCCTTGCCGCCATTGACCCTAAACCCTAAACCCTAAATCCTAAACCCGTCATAGGCTCTGACAGACGCGGTTTGCGTTGGGAGCCCCGGTGGAGGAGATCTCTGCGTTTTGCTCCACTGCGCCTGCCCAGCGCACAAGTCGCCGGCTCCCTGTAAGCATCACACCCAACTGGGTTTCAATCTTAAGTGCCAAGCTGACATCACCCTGGTGCTGTATACCTCTCGCACGAAGCGCACCCCCGCCCTGCAAATCTCCGCTCGTCCATTTGAGACATGCCACAGGCCCGGGGCCTGGATGCAAGGCTACCCCACAGAGGAACACTGCGAGATGATCGAGATGATATGCAACGCGATAGCCGCACGACACCGAACACGCAGGTGAGCACACCGCTTCGTAGCACCCATCAAAATATCGTCATTTCAAGTGCCGGAACCTTTGCGGTCAGCGCGGAGCTGCAGTGCAGATTAACTCTTCTGTTTCCGCGCAGCCGCATGCCGCATTCGGCTTTCGCTTCAAAGGATTTGAGTTTTTCGAATTGGCGTCCGAGCCGACTTGCTTATAACACGATGGGCGACGCGAGGTTTTTACTTCGAAAAACCCAGATTTTTCTTTGCCTGCCCAGAAACCTGCCTCGCCCTCCCCCTCCCCCTCCCCCTCCCCTCCCCGCGGCCCCTGCCCCCATCGCCTTCGTGCTTGCCTCGAGTTTTGCCTATCTCTCACGCTTTCTCTATTGCTCTTTCTCGTTGTTGCAACACTTATCTCATTTCTTTCGTTTTTTTCACTCTCACACACACACACACACACTTGTTTTCTCATTTATTTCTCATGTTTCTCTTACGAACCTCTCATCTTTCACAACATACTCATGTGCGTTTTGTTCTATCATCCTGTTCATCTCTGCTTCTTGTTTTTCATATCGCTTCTCTTGTTGTTCTATCTATCTCTCTCGTTTTCTCGTTTGTCTCATTTTTCTCCTTTGCTCTCTTTATCTTTCCGATCCCTTTTTCTCTGTTTCTGTCGTATCTCTCTCCTCTCTCTTTCTCCTCTCCCGTTTACCTCTTTCTCATCTGCCTTGCTTATCCTTTCTTATTGTTTTTGACAAATCCATTCATTTGGGACCCCTTTTGCAATCACTTGAAACACACATGTGTGCGCAACAACCCATTCGCGTGGCATGACCTATTGCTGCATTATCGTGGCATGAATTATCAGTGTTGCACCGCCACGCACACCAGAGTTTGTCGTTGCACAATTGAGGGCTCGCCAAGCAAGGCTCCTTTTCGACCGTCTTCTGCTCCTTGCCGTCGTTGTGTTTTTTTGTGCCGCCCGCTCACTCACAGCACGCGCTTCGCTCGTTGACTCCTGTGGATACGCGAGCATATGCAGCTCTGCATGACGATGCTGGTGTCACGTGTGTGGGGAAGCTATGAGATGCTGTGCATGGCAGCCCCCCCCACTTCGCCTGAAGACGATCCGGACGACTTCACGAACTCCGCTACAGTCCGGGCCATGCTAAGCCCCCGAACAGAAAAGGCCGGCCGTTCTTACGCTTCAAGTGTACAATTCGCTACCAGACCAGTGTCGCATGCGCTGTCCCGTCCTCGGTCAGGTGTCATTCGTGCCGAGGGCAGGCCGCTTGAGCGTGCAATCGCATCGGCATCATCGGTCTGGGGACCCACATGTAGATGTCGCCCGAAAAAACGAGCGTTGCTCGGAGGTCATCGCTGGTGGGTTCATGATGTTCATGCTATGGGGTGGCTCACAGCTTCTGGATGCCCCGCGGGTCTGCACACGGGCACCTTCGTGTTAGATTTTAGAAACAAATACGTGAACAACGACATATCATAGCATGGAAACCAGTCGTGACGACTATTGCTTGGATGGCGAAGCTCACATGCCTCGTCCTTGTATTTGTAAGCTCGTCAGAGGCGCGAGCGACAAACGAGATTCCAATAAAGCAGGGCGGACATGTCAGAGCTGCACGCCTGGCCCCATGTGCCAGCACGAATGACGGGTGGCTGCGCTCAAGGTGTGCGTTCGCATGCAAGCGAGTGTCCAAGTGCACCATCAACGAGGCTGCGGGCGAACCTCCATGTCGGACCGGGAGTGGGGCACTGCCGCCGGCCCGACAATGTCATTATTTCGATCTTGGCAATGCCGCGAATTCGTTGCTGTCGGGCATCATTCCAGACCGCGCACTTACCCCATGCAACTCCAATCCCGCGGTGCAGCCTGGTCGTGTTGGCCATCCAGCTTAGTGGCAGACAGAGCCCTGCGGCTGCCATGTTCCTTTACCCGCACTCTCCGCAGCCCACTTCCTGCGCACTGCCAGCGTCGCTGCTTTCACCACCCGCTGGCCCACCTACTTCCCAGTGCCACAGCAAGCACGCACTAGGGCCTCCACCTCCAATTTTCCACTCCTCCCATGCGTGGCCTCCCGGGTGCCAGTATCTTCCCTGGTGCCAGTATTTCTTGCGTAAAAAGTCGCCGAGGGTCACGGACAGCATGACGCCTGCCAGCTTTGGAAGCGTTGCGTAGAGGAGAGTTACTGGGCGCCCATTGGGCAGATGCGACTTTTAGCAGCGGCACGGCACGCTGTGAAGTTTTGAGGCCTATCGAAACGTTTTTTTTGAATTGTAACTTGCAGGCGCAGCACGGCCTCCCCAACCACGGATTGTCGTGTGTTGCCGGGGAGACGGAGGTGGTTGCATGGAGTTGATGGCGGCTGCGATGGCGTGATGGAGGCGCTGGGCTGGAGGTTTTGGATGGAGTGGCAGGTTCCGCATGTTCCGCCCTTCCATCCAGCGCCTTTATCCAGGCCACGCCCCTCCATCCAGAAACCACCTCCATCTAGATGGTTCCATCCATTCTACGTGGTCCATCCAATTGCAAGGGGCCTCCATCTAAAGCAAAAGCTGGGGGTTGGAAGGCCCCTTTCTCAAGGGCACTTTACCACATCTTACCACCTCCGCAAAACAAATAGGTGAGCGGAGCATACCCGCCCGTGGCTACGCACGGACGTGATCATCGTGCGGGCACGCATCATTGTGGTGGCAGGGATTCATTGCGGCCACTCGCACACGCTGGTTACACGGACGTGCTCATCTTGCAGGCATGCCTGCCACGGACGTAATCATCGTGCTGGCATGGATGTTTTTGAATTTTTTTTGATCGCTCGCACGCATATGGTTAACACGGACGTGATCATCGCGCGGGCATGTTGGCCACTCGCACGCTCTGGTGACACTTCCATAATTTTTTTGCGCTAGCATGCATCCTTTTGGCTACTTGCACGCACTGGTTACACGGATCATCATGCGGGTATGGTGGCAACTCGCACGCGCTGGTATGCACTGGTGGCAGACGTAGTTATCGTGCGGACGTGATCATCGTGCGGGCCGCACTGGTGACACGGACGTAATCATCGTGCGGGCATGGATGGTTTTTTTCGCACGCACTGGACACGCCCTTAATCATCGTGCAGCATGGATCTACTTGGCTATTCGCACGCAGTGGTTACACGCACAAGTACACGCATGTGAGCATCGTACGGGCATGTTGGCCACTCGCACGCGCTGGTGACACGGACGTAATCATCGTGCCGGCATGCATGTTTTTTGACCGCTCGCACGCACTGGTACCACGCGCCTGATCATCGTGCTAGCATGGATCGTTTTGGAAATTCGCATGCACCGGCGAGACGGACGTAATCATCGTGCTGGCATGGACCCTTGATCTGTGGTTTAGTTCGTTACGTTTATATTATGCATACGGGCTTCATGCTTCGTTTCACTCATTTTAAGCCCGTAATAATAATATTCTCTTCACCTTGCCCGCCTGGTTTGGACAGTTGGTAATGGTTGAACGCAGAGTCCCGGGTGATGATTCCAAAGTCTTTTATTGGGAGATTCCGGAAGGTTAGACAGGCGGTTGGGGTCCTATTGATGATTGGTACGGTCTTTAGTTCTGTTTCCAAGGTCTGTGGGGCATGATGGTACGGTTTCTAGGGGCGGTTCGTATTCACGCGTGCACTACAATAATATTATTCCCAATTATGGTTGATCCGCGGTTAAGATTGTAACTGCCCAAAAGACCCTATAATTTAGTATATTTATTAATGGGGCTATTAATATAATAATAAAATCGTGAGCAAAGCGCGCGTAAACTTGCTTTTGTTCACGCCTTTAGTATTATATTAATAGGGCTTTTGGTGGGACCGCCATGAATCCTGCGAACTAGAACTGGGGGCCGCCTCCAAGAACACCAATTATAATATTACGGGCGTTTCACGCGTTCCTTGTAAAGCCCGTACTATTATATTGGGTTCTTACTGGCTTGGAAACAGAGGTTGGGTCTCAAGGGCGGATTCATGGTATTAATGGTTGTCTCTGCGTCCGGGTTAATAGAGGTTGGGGTCCCGAGGGTGGGTTCTTAGTGGCTTGGAAACAGAGGTTGGGTGTTCACGGATGATGCATGAACTGTAGCACCAAGAGTCAATAGCTGGTTCCTGTCACGTAGAAAGACTCATGATGGTACGGTTTCTATGTTGGGTTCTTGGTAATGGTTGTCCTAAGGGTGAATTTGTAGACCAAGAGCACACAGTTTTAGGATTTAATATTAGATTTCCAATCAAAATCCTCTATCTCACTCTTTCCTTTGCATATTTCGTTCAAATGAGAGTAAAAAAATGTGTGAAAGAATGAGAAAGAAAAACCAATGCAAAATAAATTATACGCAAAGACCCCTATAAATCCAGTTAAAATATAATAAATGCCGTGCGAACGTAATGAATGAATGCACGGCGTAAACATTGCGGCGTGGCCCGCTCTGGCGTCCTCCGTGCCCGTGCGGTCCCGCTCGAGCGTGCAGCAGCTCGTGTTTGTCGTGAAGCTGGGGCCATGGTCGCAACCAATGTTCCTGTGCGTGATCTCAATGTTGTCAATGAGCGCCAAGATGAGCGTCGCATCGAGGTCATCGCCAACGGACTCCCGCTCTGAGGGGGTGTTCAATTGGCTGTTGACACCACCATTGTCTCCCCACTGACGGCCACCGGTCCCCCCCGTCGCACGCGCGGCTGACCACTGGTGCCGCGTTGCGCTTGGCTCGCCAGGCCAAGGAGCCGACGTGCCCGGAGCTCTGCCGTTCAGCCCGCTCCCGCCTGACAGTGCCAAAAAAAAAACAGTGCTCGTTTTCGAGGTCGGAGGCCGCTGGAGTGCCGAGGCTGCAGAGTTCGTCCGCCAGCTCGCCCGCTGCCGGGCGCGGGCCGCGCCTGCAACCGCCAGGTGCGCAGCCACCTCCGCATACGTGCTTCGCTGGTCTGCCCTCATCTCGTTTGCAGCCACGCGCGCCTTTTGTGCCAGCCTCCTCGCACTCCCTCTTGCGACCACTGGCTGCTCGTGGGGCAACGTGCATCGGACGTTCTGGCGGCCACGCGAGCGGCCGCGCGTGCGGCGTGGGTCGCCCATTGGTCGCCGGAGAGGCGCCCGCTGCACGAAGTGCTTGCAGACGTGCGCTGGCAGCTCCCGGTCATGGGCAGCCGCCAGGGGCCTCGCTAGTGTCCCCGGCAGGAGCGCCTCCGTAGGACCAGGTATGCACTGACGGCCGGGACTCTGGATTGCCGGTGAAAAGGTGTGTGGAAACAAAAACTGGCAATGTCGATGGAGACATCCCACTCCTCAGCGATGTCCTGGCAGACTGCTCGGCCCCTCCTCCCCTTGCCAGCCGCATGCCGAGACAGGGCCACCGCCCGCAGCACCTAGCTCCCTGCCCACCGCCGCCTGGTGTGCTCACTGCACCCTGTGCCACCCGTAGTAGGCTGAGATCGACCGCTCTGGACTTGGGGCAAAGGTGCGTTTAAAAAACAAATTGGATGCCTGCGCGCTCTGGTAACACGGACGTGATCATCGTGCGGGCTGCAGAGCGAGTGAGAACATGGCCGGCATGAGCGGTCACCTTGCTCACCGCCCTCGGCCTGAGAGATGCGGTGAGTGCCAGGCTAGGGTCGGCCTGCGTGCGGGCCTGCAATGTGGATCTCCAATGCAATGTGATGATGCCTTCGGCTTGCTCCAATCCGGGCTGCTGACCTTGCTCGCCGAACTTGTGGAGCGAGCTCACGTCGCAGCTGACCCCCTCCGAGCTGCGCCTAAGCCTAAGCTCCGTGCCGGCGAGCAGGCCCTGGCCTGCCTTGACGACGTCTACATCCTTGCTTGCCTGGCGAAAGTTGTCGAGCTCTGCCGGCGCCTGGAGCACCTTCTCTGGTACCACCCCCGCCTCAAACGAAATGCTGCCAAAACCAGGACTGGAAAGCGGAGTCTTAACATATTGGCACGGGCGACTCAGCTATCAGGACGCACGTGAGGGTCAAACGGAATCTTCAATCATAGCACAACAGCTCATCTGTCCTGAAAAATGTGGGAACGCGTTGGGCCGGCACACTGCGCAAATATGACAATGGGGCTCTGCGCGGAGCTTACGTGCGCCTTACGCGCACTTACGTTCAAAAGAGCTTGCCCAGCTTTGATCATTCAGGCATCGTTGAGAGGCGTCGTTGATGCCACGGTTTCTTCACTTTGCAGACACTTGCAGCCTGTTCGGTTTTGATTTTGTTGTTGTTTTACGCCAGGATGAACGGTCGGTGCGTGCATTTCGGCGCGCGCGGTTTGCCAGGGGCTTCGCAGATTTGATTGGCCCATGCGTTCAGGGAAATCCAACATATTACTGGATTTCGATTGGTTTGCCAGGGCCAGGTTGACCCTAGCGTTCCTTCGCGAAACTGAGTTTTACCCATGCTTTGGTGCTGTCCAACAAGACATTCCGCCCACGGCCCACAGCGTTCACTGGGGAATTCTGATTTGGTAGTGCTTTGTTCGCCTTCGCTTGAACCGGTGCGTTCATTGGGGTTTTAAAAATGTAGATGTATTTGAAAGGGGTGGTTTCGACTTCCGTTGTCGCCAGTAACGGGTGAGCTGGCAGGACTCGGCTGCTTATAGATTTTTTTATAATCGCCCCCATCATTATATTGTTCTATTAGTATTCTTACGAAGAGAATATAATTCAATTGGCATTATAATAAGTGAAACGAAGCATCCTGGTATCCTGTGTTCATAGTGTTCTCTCGCGAAGAAAAGCCCCTTTCATTATAATATTATCGCGACACGCATGAATTTTATATTATAAGCGTTCTTGCAGTTTGGAAGCATCAAGTGTTGGAGAACTCAAGTGTCAACATTCAGAGCTACGCCCGACCCTTTGACAGAACGCCAGTCGAGAGCACACTTGGACACCCCCCGAAGGAGTCAGCTACACTCGCTGTAGGTACGTTTTCACTCCTCCCTGGGGGCGTCTTCGTTGGCCAGCAACCCCCAGAGAGAGCGCTGGCCCCCAGCTTTGTGATTGCACAACAGGGACTCCTTGGAACACAGGAATGCGCGCACGCACACACACACACACACACACACACCCACACGCGCACCCGCGCACCCGCACACCCGTACCCGCACCACGCATGAGCACGCGCACATCCACACATTGCAAAACACACATGGGAACAAGAACAACAACAACAACAACAACAAGCATCAACAAGCATCAACAAGCATCAACACGCACACACCAACACCACGCCACACCGCACGATCATGCACCATCGCACCGAGATTACATGCATGAGCAAAAACAAGCCGAACACACACCGCCCGACAGGCACCACCGCGTTTCACACGAGGGCGGCAGCCCAAAGAATTACAGGGAGAATGTGGGAGACAATTCTGCCAAGTTGGAGATGCTCATAGTTGTCAGCCATCACAAGAATAAGGTCCGCTGGGTGGGTAATTGGCGGATGATTTGCGAAAATAGTTGTACCTCCAGCAACGTTTTTTGTACGTTCTATATTCAAAATGGTTGCACCTGAAGGTCTCTTCTGTGAGTTAAATCATGTATGACCAGAATCGTCACATTTGTTTTAAATTTGATTCTATGTTCTAGACATGTCTAAAACATGGTATCCAGTCAAATTTGAGTGAATCAAGTTCCAAAACGTGTTTATTTATTTGGTCTGGTGACTTGCAGTCGCTCCGCCGGTGGTTGGTTTCCTGGGTTCCACATGACACCATGCCCTAAGGCTCTTCGGCCTTCAATAAACCCTAAACCCTAAACCCTAAACCCTGTAGGAGGGTCCTTGGAGCCTTACGGTGGATCATTATGTGGGGCGTGTCTATGCCCAAGCCTGTGTTTGAACATGTGCCCAGCAGACAGACGCTGCAGTCGGCTCACCTGCGCGAAATTCAAGGCGGGCCCCGGAGCATGGTCCACCTTTGGGACGATCCGCTAACCCTGGAATGCAAGTTGGCCGCGCAGGAGTGGCTGCAGTCATCGGATCTTTTGATTCGGGACTTTGGGGCAAGGCTTTTGTGCCTCTTAAGATCTCGCCCGGTGCCACTTGGTGAGATCTTGCCGAAGAACAATACTTATGTCCCTCCACAAGGTCTTCTCCCGGAGGAATTCAAGCACTATCCTTGGGGTCCAGGCGTTCTTCGGGGCAAGTTCGAGCACAAAAACTCGCACGAAGGCCGCGCCCACCCAGATACTGATGTGAAATCGCTGCCGCTGCGGGAGTTTTACGCCCTGGAGGATACGGAGCATGTGGGACTACGCCTGGGGATGTTTTGGGCATCACCACATTTTCGTTGCTGGGCAAAGTTTGGGTGGGGGCAGTTGCTAATTGCAGTGTTTGTTAGTAAGATTACACGTCCCGCCCCCCCTTCCCCCCCCCCCCCACCGCCCCCAAATTATCCCAAATTTTCAAAACCCTAATCGTGTAATAGGCAACCCAACCATAACTGCTGGCACGCAGTGGCTCCCACAGGTTACCTGCCACACATGTGTGAGTCCCTGGACCTCCACTATGGGACTCTTACTTGGCCAAAAACAGAACTTTAAGCCTTTTGGTTTTTCTTACTTAGTAGGAAGAAGAAAGTTTGACCTTTTCACCACTTGGTTATTGGAGAAGTAAGGATTCGTGGCCAAGGGGCATATTTCACCTGCAAGAAGCCTGCGGAAATGGAGGTGATGCACTTGCACCCTGGGCAGGTCCCTTGGGGACCCAGCGAGCCCCAGAAGTGGGGTTCGGCAACCTCTGTTTGGGCATATGAGATGTAAACCACTCATACGCCCTAAACCCTATAAACCCTATAAACCCTATAAACCCTATAAACCCTATAAACCCTATAAACCCTATAAACCCTATAAACCCTATAAACCCTATAACCCTATAAACCCTATAAACCCTATAAACCCTATAAACCCTATAAACCCTATAAACCCTATAAACCCTATAAACCCTATAAACCCTATAAACCCTAAACCCTTTTAGGGTACGTGTGGTTCCCCAGGTCTACGTCCATCATCCCAACGATGTCTACGGTTTCGAATGTAGTGGGGAGCCACTGCTCAGCTTATGGGCGGAGCGAGTCGCAGACATCCAGCACGTGCCGCGCATGATTCTTTGGGGTGCTTGGAAAAATTTGTTTTTACTACAGGGTACTTTTATTCCTAAGAAACAGCAAAAGTTATACTTTTCGCTGGGGTTCCAAGTTCAGTATAGGATTTCGGAGATTCAAGACGTGCACGCCGATGTAGTGACCCGTGCGTTGACACGGGCAGCACATCAGTGGCTACAAGCGGACGACTTGGTGGTGCACCTGGGTCATTGTTGAAAAACATGTTGCATCTTTATTATGAATACATACGACTACTCAGACCCAATAAGGAACAAACCTACAATTCTTCAAAAGAGTACCCCAACAATGGTGCAGGCAACAGTTTGGGATGAAGCTAAAGCTCTTTGTCCAGCCTCGGGATCCGGCACTGCGACAAGTGCCCTCGGCTGCCCCTCCCGAAGGGATGGTCTCAGCTGATTTTCGCGGATGCCCCTGGTATCCCAGCTTGGCCTATACAAACTGCATGGACCCTAAGCTGAAGCCTTTGAGAGACTGCCTGCTCTATGAGGAGGGCGACACCATGTTCGGGTTGTTCTATGCACCCGCTGGCACCTACTATCCCGCACATCGCCATGAACCCTGGGAGATTTATCACATCTTAGAAGGTGAGGGGCACTTCTTCCTGGGAGACGATGGTGGGGAACCTGCCCCACCGTTGCCTGGTGAGCTTGATCCCAAGCCGTTATCTGTGCTGTCCTGCCGTCCTGGCTCCTACTGGCTACATAAACCATACCAATCCCACGGCATGCAGATCTCTGAACGGCCAGTTCTGATCCTTTGGGGTTGGATTGGCGATCTTTCCGGGGACTACGACCTCAGGTACTTGAAGAAAGACATTTTCCGATGTTGTCAGATTCATAGGTCCAAGATTTGACTGAGCAGTGTTGTGCTCTCACGGGGTTATGCGGTTATGCATCCTGGACGAATGGTTGTTTCGCTTATGGTCTTCCTAGTATCCGCAATGCGAGACCATGGAAATAAAGCCGTTTGGACGCTGCTCATGTGGCGATTCGACGCTGCTCACGTAGCGACAGCTTTTTCTAGACTTTGGACAAAAAAAGACTCGCAAAAAGATTAATGAGTACTAAATGCCGGCCCCAATTCGAATGTAAGTGGTTCGTCAATGTACCTAACTAGGCCGCATCACTTCTTGTCAACCTCTCGACCTTGCAGCTGGATTTAGACTAGTTCTGGGCACGGCCTCCAACTGCAGAAGAAGGGCGGTTTAGGGTTTAGGATGGTTTAGGGATGCTTAGGGTTTAGGGTTTAGGGTTTAGGGCTTAGGGTTTAGGGTTTAGGGTTTAGGGTTTAGGGTTTAGGGGTTGGGGTGCCAAGTGTGGGTCCACGTCGCGCTGCAGTGGAGTCCTTGTGGGACATGCCGGGCTTCTGTACGTTTTGAACCAAATACTTCCCCACCCTAAACCCTAAACCCTAAACCCTATAAACCCCAGCTTGGAGGTTATGGGTACATAGAAGTAGGGTTATCAGTGCCTTAAATAAGGCTCCAACCATAGTTAGACCGTTATTCCCAAATTCTAAGAACCCATGATCCCAAGAGACCCTTGCAGAATTCGAAAAGTAGATGACCCAACAGTAGTAGAAGGTACTTTTTTGGGGTGCGTCTCTTTGTTGGGCGGCAGCCGCGGATGCAGAACTCGGCGGTTTGTGTTTTAAGTTTGTTTGTGTGGCGTGCTTGCCAAGGCCGTGGGCAAATTTCAGGGCCCTCCTCACAAGCTTCGGTGTTTTTTGCAAGATAAGACGCGCTAACATGCATGTGTCTCGCAGCTTTTGCTTTCAGCCGGAAATCATGTATTGAATACCGGTCGGGTTTCAATTTTCGAGCGCGGGCTCTACGCGCGCCGCGTTTTGCCGACAAGATGCCAGGCAAGCTACTGAGATGCACCATGTCAGCAGTGCTGTACTTGGAGGTTCATGGGTACTTGGAACCCCAATGATATCTGCATTATAAGCCCCCTAAGTCCCCTAAGTCCTCTAAGCAGGTTATAAGTAGACTTATAAGTGCCCATGAACCTCCAGGTAGCGCCACCCAGGCCCTCAACCCTAAACCCTAAACCCTAAGCTCTTTGTGCGTAGACAGGTCCTTATCGATTTGCGATAACGGCACAGGCTGGAGCCCTGGCGTTTGGTGCACGGGGACCACTCCGACAGCCCAATGCCTTGTAACTTGTAATTAACCGTGGGCCCTTAGTAGGGTTCAGGGGTTTAGGGGTTTAGGGGTTTAGGAGCTTAGGGTTTAGGGTGGAAGGTTTAATTAGGGTTATTATTATGTCCCTTACCCTTTTGTAGCTTTAGTTCGTGATCTTGCTTTAGCACAACACAAGGAGAAGATTAGTAGGAAGAAAGGTGCACATCTGTTTGTGTGACCGCCATTGGGTTTGCTGGGCATGAGATGCGAATTTGGTGGCCGCCGCAGGGTACCCGTGGAGATTTTCAGCCAGTTCTGTCTTTGGGACTGGGCTTGGTCACGACCTGAGTTTCCTATTCCCTTCAAAAAAACAGTGCAAAATGTGCGAACATGATGTTCTAAGGAAGCTGACTGCCCAGTCATTGGATTTATGTGGATTGACTGCTCAGGTGAAAGCTGGCCACGTTGCCCTCCTCAGCATGCTTCAGCTAGTGTTGACCTGGTCAGAACTCATCAAAGAGCCCAGCCAGTCGCACATGCCAGGTCAAATTTTTCGCAAACCCTGGACATTGCAGGACAGGACACAGATGTGTTCACACAAGTCGCCGAACCTGTAAGTAGCAGCCGGGTTGCTCAACGTGTATATGCACATTCCACGCACCCACTTGCGTCCATCTGTGTCCAGAGCTGCTCTTGAGATTGCTTTTTAGGGTTTAGGGTGTAGGGTTTAGGGTTTAGGGTTTACCACCTGCACTTGGCGGGACCCATGTCGCATGATGCGTCACAGGATGGCAGAAGAATTTGGTTTAGAAGCCGCCGCGGTATCCATCGAGATCAAGGATTGTCTTCAGTGCATGCCAAGCGGATCACGCACAGGATTGTAGCACGCCGAAGTGCACCATTTAAGTGAGAACAGTACTGCAACTTGTTGTGTGCGTTGCTTGCTTCAGCTAGTCAGGATTTCTTGGCGACAGAACGCGGCATGAGGGCCATGGAGAAGGGCGCGAGCCTCAGAGACCAGATGCTGCGCAATATCTACTTGGGAGGCTCATTTGGGTACTTACAAGTAGGGTCATAAGTACCTTCATGTAATCGGGTTCTAGCTAGCCATAGTTCCCCTACTTATACCCTTAATCAGGTTCTAAGTAACCATAGTTCCCCTACTTAGAACCTTGCTTGTAAGTACCTAGATGCACCTCCAAGTAACCCTAAACCCTAAACCCTAAACCCTCACATGTCGCAGAGTAGCATAGTTCGACGAACGGACCCATGGACCTTGCCTGCCTTGTGCGAGAGTGAGCGACTAAACACTAAACCCTAAACGTGCTCTTCACCGAGGCGATCTTCTGCTGGTGGCCGCGCAAGGTGATTTCGCGGATGACATGGATCAGCGCGCTGATGCATGTTGCTGTTGCTACTTCGGGGCTGGGTGGTTGACCTTCAACTTTTTTTTGGTTAATTATGTTTTCACCCTGTTACAAATAGAAGGTTCACCTTTTTTGGGGATAGGGTATTCAGCCCCGAAGGTTAGTTGCGCAGTTTGCTTTTGACCAGTCTAGTTCGCCCATGATGCCCATGTTTGCTGCGTGCTGCGTGGGCTTGACTGGAGCCACCGTGTGTCGCAACGTCCTGCCGTGCCAGCTCAACGAACTGGGTGGAAATCTTTGAAAAAGAAGTCGACCAGCCCAAAACCCAGCGTCAGAACCAGATGGCATGATGGCATGCATGTGTTCAGCACAGCTGCACGGTTAGCATGGTGGCCACCCACGAGTCCAACATGCTTTGATTCCATGAAAAGATGCCGAGGTTCAAGCCGCATGTGCTGATCTGGCCCGCTCCTCAACACAAGCACTCACTAAACCCTCAACTTGGGATATTCCCCCCTATGCAAACAGTCCGCAAGAGGGATGATAATCGGGGGTACCATTATCCCGATTACGGACTGTTTGGTATAAGGGTGGGACATCCCAACCCTTAACGCTACACACTTGATGCCAGCTTTTCGCATTCCGCTACTTGGAGTTTCCGGGTACTTCTAACCCCAGTATAACCCCTATATCTGCACTTATAAGCCCCCGATGTCCCCTAAGTAGGTTATAAGTAGACATAGAATGGGGGTTATAGCCCTAAACCCTAAACCCTACATGGGGGTTCTAAGTACCCATGAACCTCGACGTACTCTGGCTTGACCTACAAACTACACGCGAACCCCGCTCAGGACACCTTTGACTGGTGGTCTCGTCACACCGCGGCTTGGCAAAGAGTATGCTAAAACCCTAAACCCTAAACCCTAAACCCTAAACCCTAAACCCTAAACCCTAAACCCTAAACCCCCGGGTGGGAAAAGCAACAAAAAGAGAACAAAACCCAAGTTGCGTCAATTGAGGGCGTAATCTGCTTTACGTGGCTGTTCATACACACTCCCTTTTCTACATGTAAACGTTGGATAGATTTTGTCCGACTGCTGGTCCGAATGATGGGAAGTTTCCTGTCTGGCCAACTTCACCAGAAAGAGTGGCAAACAAAGATAAAGTACATATCAACATGGGGGTTTCCGAAATTTGGGGTACCTCATTGGGGTCCTTATTATGAGGGGATCCTACTATATGGGAGTCTATATTGAGGGTCCTCTATTTTCATAGACCACCCATATCCCGAAACCCTGAATCAAACGAACGCCAAGACCTTAACCTCTAAATCCTAAACCCTGAACCCTGCCTTATTCTGAGCATGAACCCTAAACCCTAAACCCTATAAACCCTAACATAGCTAGAGCTGCCTGTCCGCCATGCCCCCAAACCTTTTCATTTGAGTGTGCTGAGGGCACACTGCTGATGATCTGTTGCTTGCAATTCGTTTTGAGGGCAAGGCACATCGCAGAAAAAAGGCTGCAGCTGTGCTCAGAACAAAGCAGGGTTTGGGTTTAGGGTCTAGGGTTTAGGGTCTAGGGTTTTGGGTTTTGGGCAACGAAGGTACATCGACAAGCACTTAGATATGCCGGCCATCATGGCCACTTACCAGTGCTGCTCTCAGGCGCATGTGTGTGTGTGCATGCATCCGGACTGCCGACATGTTCAGCGGCCAAGGCCGCACTGTATACCAACCAACTATCTCACGCTGCATCCTCGGATGTTTTGGGGGGACTTGGGGTTTGTGCGGTTTCTGTCCGAGCGTGCAATTCAAGGTTTGGGAGGCTTGCGAAGGTGGGCGGTCGAGCCAGATTTATCGTTTGGCCGCGCTTTGCCGCATAACCCTAAACCCTGCGTTTAAAATCCCTACACCCCACACCTTAAACCCTAAACCGGATTATGCCCTCGCCAAGCTAGTCCATGAGGGACGACAACCCTAAACCCCAAAAGCCCTAAACGCTTCGAAACGCAAATCGAGAAGTGTACCGAGTCGAAATCAAGTGTTGAGGCCAATCATTCCAGGGACCTAGTTATGGGGTCCTTAGGGCTCTAGGAACCTTACTATTGGGTCCTTGGAAGTATAACTGCAGTGATAACAACCTAAACCCTAAACCCTAAACCCTAAACCCTAGACCCTAGACCCTAGACCCTAAACCCTAAACCCTGAACCTCCAAGTAAGGCCAATCAACATGCAGCGGATGGAGCTGGAACCAGATCAGCCGAAGCTGCACGCCTGGGCCGCCGACCCCAGAGTTGGCCGAGCGTTGATTCAGGGTTTAGCGCTCCAGGGTTTAGGGTTTAGGGTTTAGGGTTTAGGGTTTAGGGTTTAGGGTTTAGGGTTTAGGGTTCAAGGTTTAAGGTTTAGGGTTTAGGGTCTAGGGTGGAAGTTCTAAGGGTAGTTCATGGGCCCTTAGTATGGTCCCTTATGTTGGGGGTTCCGATGTATGGGCCCTTGGGTTGTGTGGGGTATGTCAGGGCTATATAAGGGTTTCCCGTTTAAGGGCCCATACTAAGGGACCATGCAACTACCCTAAACCCTAAACCCTAACCCTAAACCCTAAACCCTAAACCCTAAACCCTAAACCCTAACAGGAGTACCGGGTGAACCACCATCCCATCCTCAGGTCCCTGGCCGGGGGACTTGGGGACTGTTAGGGATCCTAAGTTCCCCCCAAAAAGTAGGCCCAAGGTTTAGGGTTTAGGGTTTAGGGCTTAGGGCTTAGGGTTTAGGGTTTAGGGTTTAGGGCCGTAGGCCCCCTGTGGACAGCTTTTTTTAAATGCATGTTCCCCTTACTTATCTTATTTGAGTTAAAGAGGGTCACATCTGTCTAGGAATCTTTGTCAGATGGTTGTAAGAACCTGGGTCCACCGTTGTGTCGAGGCTTCGTAGGCTGCGCAGGTTAAACTTGCAATCTGGGATCTGCTGCTGAAGTTTATCGTATCCTGTATATAGTATTAAAATACACATATGTATATACGTATGTATATATATATAACATATAACCCAAGGGAATAGCAAAATCACTATTGATACTAGGGTGTTGCGAGGAGAGTGATATGGGAGAAGAAGCCCATAAGGTTGAAACGCAGATCTTAAGGAAAGAGCTGTGAGCCAGCGCGAGCCCGAAATCCGAAGCCCTGCAGTGACAGCGCCGAGTAAACCCCAAACCCTAAACCCGAAACCGTAAACCCTAAACTCTAAACCTTAAACCCTAAACCCTAAACCCTAAACCCTAAACCCTAACCCTTAACCCTAAACTGCAGGTGATCGAGGCACAGACAGGTGCTTCTGGTTGCTTCCAAGCTTGCCGCACTCTCGGATGGCCACATCTCTGGGACATGGCCCTTTTGAGATTAGGTTTCAGTGTTTACTTGGAGGTTCATGGGCATTTCTAACCCCAATTGTAAGTCTACTTATAACCTACTTAGAGGACTTGGGGGACTTAGGGGGCTTCTTAGTACAATTAAACTGGGGTTACAAGTACCATGAACCTCCAAGTGGGGCACAGTGGTTTTGGTTTAGGGTGTATAGGATTTAGCCATGTCGGCATGGGCGCCTTGCTTCGACCGCTTCTCCTACGGGATGCAAGTTTGCATGTCTGACCCTAATATAGGGGTCGGAATAATTACTAATCACTGATCATATTCCCTTATGGCCCCTGTAATATTTGTACGAAACTAACCCCCAAAACCCTACTACAATCATTCAAGCCCCTATATAAATATTAGACTCTTCCCAAAGCCTAAGCTTGCCTGCCATTGCGGCTTGTGTGAGAGCCCACGTTCCCGCAGCAGCCCCAGAATCTGATCACTGAGATGCCCAGCCTAAACCCTAAACCCTAAACCCTAAACCCTAAACCCTAAACCTTAAACCCTAAACCCTAAACCCTAAACCCTAAACCCTAAACCCTAAGCCCTAAGCCCTAAGCCCTAAACCCTAACCCTAAACCCTAAACCCTAAACCCTTGAGGCAAGCACCTGACGGAAGCTGGGCAGCCGCCAGGGCCATCAGATGCAGAGAGACCACCTACTTGGAGGTTCATGGGTACTTATAACCCCGATTGTAACTCTACTTATAACCTACTTAGAGGACTCAGGGGGCTTGGGGGGCAAGTAAGTACGGTGAAAATTGGGGGGATAAGTACCCCGAACCTCCAAGTACCATGTCATTCGTTCTTTGCAGTGCCATTTCGCTGTTTCGTGCAGCCACTGTGACCAAATGCTTAAATGACTTCAACGCAAACAGGTGAACAGCAGACCCGTCCCAGGAAAGCACCACGAATGATGCCAAGTCTTAGCCACAGCTACCGCTCAGAGGTGTGACGTGAAAAGGTTTAGGCCCTCCAGGGTTTAGGTTTTAGGTTTAGGGTTCAGGGTTTAGGGTTTAGGGTGTAGCGCATGGTGGCAAAGGTCCCGGCCCATTGAATCCATGCTCGTCAGACGGGTTCGGGTTTACAATCTGAAACAAGGGCCGCTCGCTCGCGGCCATGGGCATCAAGGGCTTGTTTCCTTATCTCGCCGAGGCTGCGCCGAAGGCCCACAACACTTCCGAGCTGAAACGCTACACAGGGCAGCGCCTGGCGGTGGATGCATCCGCATGGATGTATCAGTTCTTGACCATCGTTCGGACTGGAGCTGCTGCCGAAAACCTCCAAAACAATCAGGGGGCCGCGACTTCACATTTGCAGGGCTTCGTGTTGCGCACTCTGAAGCTCTTGGAGGCGGGTGTGCATCCAGTCTTCGTCTTCGATGGGAGGCCCCCTGACATGAAGATGGCCGTGAATGCTGCGCGCAGGGAGGTGCGGGAGCAGGCTGCAGAGGACTATGCCTCGGCGGTCTCTTCGGGTGCCACGGGTGAGCATGTGTACAAGGCCGCGAGCCGAAGTACCAGGGTGACGAGGGAGCATGCCGAGCATGCCAAGGAGATCTTACGTGCCATGGGCATGCCAGTGGTAGAAGCACCCGGTGACTCGCCCAGTGGTACCCTTTGCCCTCTTTTTGGTTCTGGTTTCCCTTCTAAAACAACCAACCCAAAAAAAGGGGTGCCCTCATTATCATATGGTTACTGGGCTAGCAAGGTGAGGCCGAAGCTACCTGTGCGCAACTTTGCATTGAGGGTCAAGTCTATGCGGCCGTGACGGAGGACATGGATGTGCTGACTTTTGGGTCGCCCCGGCAGATCAAGAACCTCTTTGATGTGGAGGGCTCCAGAGCAAGGCAACCGAGACCTGCACAAGAAATCAACCTGCCGAAGGTCTTGGAGGGTTTATCTTACACTCAGGAGCAGTTCATTGAGTTTTGCATCCTTTGTGGGTGCGACTATCTGCCGCACCTTGCCCGCATGGGCCCCAAAACGGCCGCCCAAATCTTGCAGAGAGAGGGCTCACTTAAGGCGGTGGTGCGTTGCATCCAGGGCGGCCAGGGACCAAAGGGTTGCAGCATCCCGGAAAAATGGGACTGGAGTTCGGCCAAACAACTCTTTCAGAAAGGTGCCAAGGAGCTTTCAGCTGATGCACTGGATGCACTGAAGACTCAGCAAGCGAAGGATCGCGCAAAACTCTGCGACTTCGAGCAGATGCGCCAATTGCTGGTCGAGAAGCATCAGTTTAGCTCATCTCGGGTGGACACCATGGTGGAGCGCTTGCGCAAAGCGCTTGCCCCCGGTGGTGCTGCCTCCAATCGCCGCATCGAGAGTTTTTTTTCAGCCTCGCCGAAGCGGCGGCGCACAGCCGAGCGGCCACCGATCCCGGTGGTGTCTGGAGATTCCGGTGATGAGGTGGTGGTGTGTGATGATATCGTGGAGATTCCGGTGGAGGCTGCTGAGCACGAATCAGAGTGGAACTGCGAGAAGTGCACCTTCTGCAATCACGCAAAGCTGTCTTCCTGTGAGATGTGTCAGCATCCGCGTGGCGCACAGCGAGCCAAGCCGGGAAGTGGCAAATGGCCTCCTGGCACTGCCACCAAAGTCACTGCCACCAAAGTCATCGACCTCGATGACTAGCTGACTAGCTTCAGAAGCAGGAAAACATCGAAAACATCGCCACTTTCACACAAGAAACCCTAAACCCTAAACCAAGGCTGGGGGCGACTGAATTTCCAGAGCTGATTTGCCGGCTGTTTAGGTCGGGGTTGTGGGTCGCGAACCGCCAAAGAGATCCTATTGCCTTCAGCAGACTCCGACCCTTGGGAGGATCCAACGTAACCAAGTATCTCAATAGTGCCGAGTTTGCTTCCTCGATAATGGAGCGAATGCAGCGAATGGATCAATTGTTTGATCAGTTGCTTCCGGAGGAAAACCTCCAAATAGTACCCTATACTACTATTATTGGGTCATTCTTAGGAACCCTTGAGGGGATCTACCTTTTGGATCCTTCCAGGGTCTGGGGGAGCCAGAAACTGAAGCAGTTTTGGTGGGGATGTGGCCCCAAGTCTCCTCATCTAAGATTCAAGAATCTGGCTCAGGTACATGAACTCCACCATCTGCTTCATCACCAAATCGCCCCCCAAAATGCATACCAGACTTACACAAGATGCAGACCTTCAAGCCTTCATGAGCAGAGGGCACACGCTGGCTTCTCACACAGCCTGCCAAATCGGGGTGAGAAGCTGAATGTCATGGCTTTGGTTCTAATCTAGGTACGCTCTTGGATATGTTATGGGTTTAGGGTTCAAGAGGTTCATAGCACCGTTGCGCCGAGGGTTCGGAGGGCCCAAAGGCCCAGCAATCTGGTGTCGTCCAACTGGCAGACCCCGACGCTGGTTTAGGGTTAGGGTTTGGGGTTTAGGGTTTAGGGTTTGTAAGGTTTAAGGGGTAGGGCTTTGCGCACAAGACTTCGAACGATGCACAGAAAGTTGCTGATGATGCGCTGTGAAGTTGCGCTAAATCCTAAACCCTAAACCCTTACCCCCCTCCCCCCCCCAAAAGAAAAAAAAACATCAAATAAAATGATGAAGCCTAAGCCCTCATCTTCAACCCTCCAACCGATGCTGGGCTTTAGCGTTTAGGATGTGGGGGCTTTAGGGTCTAAGGTTTAGGGTTTAGGGCAACAGCTGAGGATTCCGATGTCTGCCTATCCGCAGATGACCTGGGAAGGCAACTTCAACATTGAGGACCCGCACGACACGGGATTCTCATCTCACACGCAGACCGACCCAGCGTTCATGGTTTTGCAGGTGTAGCGCACAAAGGTTTAGAGTTGGGGTTTAGGATTTCGAGTTTCGAGGTTTAGGGTTTAGAGTTTTGAGGTTTAGGGTTTAGAGTTTTGAGGTTTAGGGTTTAGGGTTTAGGGTTTAGGGCAAGCCTTGAGTTCCTTGCAGACGGCCACCTAGGGCTTTTCAAGACTTGATGCCCCTTCCCCTGTCGCCCCATCCCCCCTCCTGCGCCCCAGGGTTTGGGGTTTAGGCTTTAGGCTTTAGGATTTAGGGTTTATAGGGTTTAGGGTTTAGGGTTGGCCCCCGTCCCCCTCCCCTTCCCTGAGGGGCTGGGTAGTCCTCTTATCGCCACGGAGCCCAGTACAAGTCAATTCAGGAAGGCAGCATACATCGCAGGAGGGCTCTGAAGGTTATTTAATTTAAGTAAGATGAACCTCTTGGCACCCTTGAAAACATGGACCGCAATGCATTGCGGAAGGGTTCTTGAGGTGGTTTAAGTCACATCGTGTTATTTCTCAAATTAAGGGTACTAGGGTTTAGGGTTTAGGGTTTAGGGTTGGGAGGGGGGGAGGGGCTTCCTCCAGCTCCTACCACGATCCAGCCTCCAGGGCCGTGCGGCCATGACATGCTTCGGATTCAGGGTTTGGAGGTTCTTGCAAGACGGGTTTGAGCGGGTTGAGGCAAAAAAGGGTTTAAGGTGTGAGGGGTTGCAAGAAGGGGTTTAGGGTCTAGGATGCGGGTGCTGAGGAATTTTGATGTCGGGACATTTTGGGGCCAAATCTTCTAAAGGGTTGTTGAGGGCAACCTGCGATTGGCGTAAGAACCCCACCCCTCTAAAAAAGTTTAAGAATATTCGTTCTTCCTGATAAGGGTAATATAGAGGTCTTTTTCGTTGGGGTGGGTTCTGGAGCAAGTGATAGCTATTCTAGACTCTAGACCCTAAACTCTAAACCCTAAAACCTAAACCCTAAACCCTAAACCAAAAACCTTTTCATCCCCACAGTTGCAAGAACTACAACGGGTTTGTCTCAGATGTTGTGCTTCGACTCCCACGTGGCTTCCAGGTGGAGGTTGACGAAAATTGGGAACCCCTAAACAAAGACCCCAAATTGTAGGAGTCTCTTGATTTAAGGACCCACATAAGGTAAAAAAGATCCCAAATTGTAGGATTCTCTCTTAAAATAAGGACCCAAATAAGGCCCCCCCCCCCCCCCCCACTTTCGGAAACCACCATGTCTACTTTGTTAGGAGGCGGCGAATCCCCGCTTGCTTGCGTATAGCCCTGGCTGGCTGGGTTGCCCAGTGTTTAGGGTTTCAGGTTTAGGGTCTAGGGTTTAGGGTTCAGGGTTTCAGGGTTTCAGGGTTTCAGGGTTTCAGGGTTTCAGGGTTTCAGGTTTAGGGTTTCGGGTTCACGGTTTCAGGGTTTCAGGGTTTCAGGTTTAGGGCTTAGGGTTGCGGGTTCAGGGTTTCAGGTTGAGGGTTTAGGGTTTAGGGAGTCCGGAGGCAAAAAAGGGTTTAGGGTTTAGGTATGAGGCGACCTGCTGCTGCAAAAAAAAACAGGTTTGTATACCCCCCCACCCCTCCCCCCCCCAGAAAACAAAAAAAGTACGGATCCTAAACCCTAAACCCTAAACCCTAAACCCTAAATCCTAAACCCTAAACCCTATAAACCCTAAACCCTAAACCCTAAACCCTAAACCGGGGGTTTGGGACAAGCAAGCAAGCCACAGGGCTATGTGAGGCTTTCGGTGGTGGGAATTTGCACCCGAAGGCATGGGCTCTAGGCTCTACGAACTGCAGCTCCTAGAGCCAAACTACACCAACAGGGTTTAGGGTTTAGGGTTTAGGGTTTAGGGTTTGGGGAGCTGAACTTTAAACTTTTTGGGTTTCCTTATTTAGTAGGAATAAAAAAGTTTAACCGATGTTCCCTTTGGTTATTGGAGAAGCAAGACAGTTTGCCACAGTGCAGAATGATGTCAGGTTCGTATTCAGGCCTACCCCCTGGCTAGAGATTCTGGAGAGCTCTCGTTTCTGAACAAGATGGATCGTTGTGAAATCTCTTGGTGCCAGGAGGTTCTTTTTCAAAGACCCTAAACCCTAAACCTAGTACAAGAGTTATCGGGCTTAACATATCTTGAGGTGTTATATAGTCCGGCCTTAAAAATGTCTTGAAACCAGGCTTTTGCAAGAGCGACAGTGCCAGGCCGCCCCAAGAGTCTACAGCCGACCACTGTTCTACTACGTGCTTAAGAACCCCCCAAAAAAACCAAAAACACATCCCTATATTACCCTTATAAAGAAGAAGTTGTTTTTTTTTTGTGGGGGGGGGGCCTAAGCAATTCGTAGTGCGTCTAAGATGTGTCACGACGTGGAGGGATCTTGACACAGTCGACCCTGAAACCTGAAATGGGAGCTTCCGAAAATAAGGGACCCCCCCCCCCCCAAATAAAGACCCGCAATTGGTAGGATGCCCGTATACTTAAGGACCCCCAGTAAAGGTACCCCTAATTTTGCAAACCAAACCTTGAAAGCTAAACAGCAGGCTTTGTCTGCCTCACTAGGCCCTAAAACCTTTTTACATAGACACCGGTTGGGGGAGTGGGTGTGCATGCTGATCCAGAGACTTGTTACCACGTCCCAAGCCCATCTTTCACAATAACCATACGAATGCTCATCTTACTGGTAGTAAGAAATAAGAAGAATAGCCATAGCAACACTGATCTCTCTGGTTAAAATAAGAAGAATCACCAGCATCATAAAATAGCAATGAACAATGACGCCGAACCCCAGTTCATGCAGGTGGCCTGCGCTGCCCGATTGGCCGAAGAAGAACGTCATCATAACAGGTTCCGCAGCAAGCACGGGCACTCGTAGTTAAGGGTTTAGGGTTCAGGGTTCAGGGTTAAGGGTTTCATGTCTTCTGGGTTCAAAAAGGGTTTCATTTCTTCATGCACCGATGAATCTTCGCGCTCTTTCTGCCTGCGCTGTGTGTCAACAAAGCCCTTGACCCTTGACCCTAAACCCGAGGCCCTTAACCCTAAGCCCTAAACCCTAAACCCTGAACCCCTTGGGAAGGCAAGATCAGTCACTGGATAAGATACAGGAAGCGCATCTGGGTGTAGGAGTCAGGCTTTAGGGCTGTTTAGGATCCGGATTCAGGTTTAGGGTCTAGTCTAGGGCGGTTTAGGGTGCAGGGTGTAGGGTTTAGGGTTTAGGATTTAGGGTTTAGGGTTGATGATGAGTGTCGGAACATCGCTCAGACTTTGGTGGCAAATGTGGTGGCAACGACTGAGGCCTCTCTTCAAACCTTACAGAGACGGATTTATGAACTCGAACGAGATGCGGGCCTCTGCGAGCTTGAGCAACCAGGCTCAGGTGAGGCAAGCCTCCCGATGCAACTTTTCGGTCCAGCTCTGGATGATGCAAGAGAAGAGAAACCTCGTGAATCCTCGGTTCAACCTTTCGGTAGAGTTCTCGATGATGCAAGCGAAGATGAACCTTGTGAGTCCTCGCAGTGTCTTGATTTGCCTGAAAATGCGGGCATACAAGCTTTAATTGAGCAGCAACGATTAAGGCGCTTAGCTATCCGTGACTTACGTCGCATTTCTAGGGTCTTCTCTGCGAAGTTGTAGTCTGGCTGTTGCTGCATGCGCTTGCTCTTACTCACCGTAATTCGCACACTTCTGACTGTCCCGCTTACACTTTCACGGGGGTAGCCACGAGAGCTGTCCCTGGCAGGCTTGACGTTTCGAATGCCTGAGAGAGAGAGAGGGTTTAGGTTTTAGGGTTAGGGCCTAGGGGTAAAACAAGCTTTTTAAGCTACCATGTAATTGTTTCCATGACACGGTT